GGAACAGCTGGTAGTTTCCAACTGCTGACCCTGAGGATAGCAGCCCAATTCATAACCACTACGCTACGAGAGCTCCTTGCTTTAAACATTACACTCATCTAAAGAATTATTTAAGGAGCTCTCGTAGCGTAGTGGTTACGAATCGGGCTGCTAACTTCAAGATCGGCAGTTCGAAACTACCAGCGGAACCAAGAGAGAAAAATGAGGCGTTCTGCAGCCGTAAAGATTTACAGCCTCGGAAACACTGTACAGGGTCACTAACCGACTCCACGGTAGTTAACAAAAACAAAGAATTATCTGTATGTGGTCAAATTAGCAATAACAGGAAAAGATAGAGGAAAAGCTTAAGGAGTTAATGATGGTGAAATAGTTTGGAAAATGTTGTCCAAAAGTTAGTGCAACTTGAAGTGTGTATCTGGCATCATTGAATTGTACATGTAAAACTAGTTTGACACTTTGTTATGTATATTTTCATACACACAAAAATTAAATTCATGCATTTTATTCGGTTTACATTGAACCTTAACTAAAGAAAGTATTATGTTGTTAAGTGCCTTCGAGTCGGTTCCGACCCATAGCGACCCTGTACAGGGTTTCCAAGGGTGTAAATCCTTATGGGAGTAGAAAGCCGCATCTTTTTCCCGTGGAGCGGCTGGTAGTTTCAAACCGGTGACCTTAAGGTTCGCAGCCCGATTCGTAATCACTACGCTACCAGAACTCCTTAAAGAAAGTATTATAGGGTGATTTAACTCTGTGGTGTTACGCTGTTTTCTATGAAGGACACTGATGTCTTTTTGTTTGAGCGGGGAAGGAATGTCCAAGTACCAGAAAGGTTCACACATATTGAGAAAGCGTTCCTACAGGTTAGGATGCAGGATGTGACAAAGGGGAGGGGGTGTCAAGCTCCTGGGAACCGCCCAGAGCGACCCCAACTCTTCTCACTGGTCCCACCTCCCACAATAATTCCCGAACTCTTGGCCGCGAAGCTCAAGCCCGGATGGGCGGGGGCTCGTCAACGTCGTGCTGACGTCATGCGCGTGCTGACGTTGCCGGCGGTCGCGGCCTCTGAAGCGGGCTGGGGCTCGCGGGGCGCCGAGTTTGACTAGTTTGGGGGTAGCTCGGTACTTGGCGCTGCTCCCGCCGCCCGCTGCGCCCCGGGACCCGCTCCTCTGCCAGGACGAGCGCGTCCATCCTGCTCCGGCGGGTGCCCGCACTGGGGCTGGGCGGCGCTCGGCAAAAGTTGGCCCCTCGCGGGCGGGCGGGCGGCGGCGGCGGCCATGGAGCCCCGAAGCATGGAGTACTTCAGCGCCCAGGTGCTGCAGAAGGACGTCGGCGGTCGGCTGCAGGTCGGCCAGGAGCTGCTACTCTACCTCAACACGCCCGGCGCCATCCCGGATGTGGACGAGGACCAGGGTCGCCTGGGCAAGACTATCGACGCGCTCACCGGCTGGGTGGGCTCCAGCAACTACCGGGTAAGCGGCGGCGGTGGCGGACCGGGCACGCCCTCTGGGGCCGGCCCTTTAATCCCGGACGTGAGCGTCAGGCCAGGCGATGGCCCGAGATGCTCGCGGATTCGCATGTAAAGAGGAACGCCGGACACCGGGATACCCTAGGCGCGCCCACTTTGGCAAGCTTAGCTCCCCAGACGTCAGCGGGGGCTTCCTTCCTACCCGACGAACTTTTTCCACAATTCTGAACAAGTTGTGTCAAATCTAGCGATTCCAATACACGTTGCGGAATTACTTGGGACTGGGACACAGTGATCACTTTGAAAAATCTCTGATAATTGTCGTAAAATATAGGACTCGAAGATGTTTTACGTTGGTGCTCACCTGTGTAAACACTACCCAGACTACGATTGAGCATATTAAGACGCAGTTTTTAAGTTGAAAAGGGAAGTCAAAGCTAATCCTCTCTTAAATTATGTTTTTTTTTGTCCAGGTGTGGCTCTGTAGGATGAGCACTGGATTGCAAACCGCAAAGTTGGCAGTTCAAACTCCCCCTCCCCCAGCAGCCACTACTTGAAAATCCTATACGCGGCCGCTATAAGTTGGCGCGTAACAACATCTACCTACCACATACTTGTTTTCTTATATATAAATTTTTTTTGTCTTGGAGGTTGTGCTCTAAATCTCAAGCATATCTAGGGTCGAATCTGGTGCCTGATTGCGTTTACCGTAAATATAATGAAAAGATAGTGACCTCTTGGCGTTATTTATTTGCTTGTCGTTGATAGACGAGCGAAGAGAGTTGAATGCACTCTGTTATTTTATATTAACGCAGTTGAGGACTGATTTGGATTTGAAACTGATAGGTTTGGTTGATGCCGAAAAAGAAAAATAAAGAAGAAAGAAAAAAAAATAACAAGGATGAGGTACAAGAAGGAACGAGTGTTTCAGGAGTCAGTAGAAGGCTGGCTTTATTGTAGCCACGTTGGGAGGCAAATTTTCTGTAATTATTAGTGCATGCTATAGTTGTTTTGGTTACTTTTCTTTCTAGTCTTCTGGTGGCAGTGTTGCTTTAAAATGTTGGCTTAAACCTCCTGTGAATGAAGAGATTTCTTTTTCAAAGTACATCCTTATATAAATCCAGAGATTAGGCTGTACTTCGAAAGTTTTTATCCATGTAGAACATAAAGGCAAACTCTAAAATCATGCAGATTTAATGGTGAAGCATATGAATTTTAGAAGGGTTTGACTTTTAATTAATAAGAAAAATAGTTTGAGTCAACCACTTTGAGCTCTATTATATACTATTTTTTTTAAAGTTTGGAAAAATTTACTATTTAATACTGTGTTATTACTTACCATTTGGGGAATGTTATTATTTCTTTGGAAGAAACAGCTAAATTTACTTACCTGACAAGAGAGGCGTGTACACACTTCACATATAGTTGATTTTATGCTGTAGTTTAGGATGCTGTAGACAGTCATCTCTTTGGTGATGTTTGACCTCCCTTTGTAAGTATAGGTTGATGGTGCTGCCACCTTCTGTACTGGCTGTGATGGATTGGCTTTGTGCCATCAGTAATTTCATCTGTTGAAACACATGCCTGACTTTTATCAGGCCACAATATACCAATTTTTCTTCTATGTTATAAGCACTACAACTACTTAGTGCTTTAGTTGCCTTGTGTGATCCTTATTGTTAGGTACAGTCTAATCCGTTTCAGCTCATAGCGACCCCTTGTGGCAGAGTTAGAACTACCTCATTGCTGTTAAGGTTCCCACTCATAGCCACCCTGTAGGTTTCTGAGGCTCTAAATCTTTACCGGAATAGAAAGCCTCATCTTTCTCCCGCGGAACAGCTGGTAGTTTCGAACTGCTGACCCTGAGGTTAGCAGCCCAATTTGTAATCACTATGCTCCCAGAGCTCCTTGGAGCTGTTAATATGGAAAAAGTGCCAGATCATATTCCAGTCATCAGGGTTCTGCCCCAGGTTCTCATCTCTTACTCTCTCCAGATTCTGTGGCCTGAGACTATTTCAGCATTCAGAAGAGAACTGCCAGTTTTCCTCCAGCGTAGCTACGTACTTCCTTTAGCTGTGCCCATATATCCATCCGTCTTCTTTCCTGTTACAATGAATGAATGGTCTGTGTGTCTTAACTAATGTCAGCCCCTCCACATGGTGTATTAAATTCCATCCCTTTTTGCCTACTCAAGGACAATGACCAATTATGTTCTTTCTTTCTTGAATTATTAATTCTATCCTTTCTTCTGAATTCTGTAAATAAAAAAACTCTTTTCTGACTTGTGGCATAGAGAGTATTCTTATTAGTCTATTAGTTTTACAGACTAAGTTATCCAACTAAACACAAAACCCCCACATTGCTGTTGAGCTGATTTCGACTCATGGCAACTCTACAGTAAGTACAAAGTAGAATTGTCCTATGGGGTTTCCAAGACTGACTTTTATGGAAGCAGACTGCCATGTCTTTCTCCTATAGAACAACTGGTGGGTTCAAACTATTTACCTTATGTTCAGTTAACCTCTGTGTCCCCAGTGCTCCTTAGTTACCCAGTTTGTTGTTGTTAGGTGTCCTTGAGACAGTCCTGGCTCATAGCAACCCTATATAGGGTTTCCAGGGAGTGGTTGGTGATTTTGAACTGCTGATCTTGCGGTTTGCAGTTCAGTGTTTATCCTACAGTGCCACACCAGGACTATTGGTTATTGTTTTTGTTTTGTTTTTTACTCAAGAGACAATAAAACATATTTCATTCTTTAAAATATATATATATATATATATATATATACTCAGAAATTTTTTATTATTAACACAGAATTATATTTAAATTTTAAATTATGCTGACTAAATATATTATTTGGGGGAGGCTTTGAAAGTACTGCAGGATTTGAGTGTCTTAACTTACATTATTGTTGTTAAGTGCCATCGAGTCAATTCCGCCCCATAGCGAACCTGTATAATAGGGTTTCTGAGGAGCAGCTGGTAAATTTGAACCTCTGACCTTGCAGTTCAAATGGCTTTGCAGTCTGGCGCCTCAACCCACAGCGCCACACCAGGACCTCCAATAACATTCATTGTTGTTAAGTGCCTTCAAGTGGGTTCCGATTCATAGCCACCCTGTATAGGGTTTCCAAGGAATGGCTGGTGAATTTGAATTGCTGACCTTGAGGTTCAAACCAACTTTGCAGTCCAGTGCATTATCCCACACCGCCACACCAGGACTCCTTATAATAAGTTGTTGTTGTTCTTAAGTGCCGTGGAGTCAGTCCTGACCCATAGCAATCCTGTATAGGGTTTCCAAGGAGCAGCTGGTGAGCTTGAACCACTCACCTTGTGGTTCAAATGACTTTGCAGTCCAGCGCATTAGCCCACAGTGCCACACCAGGGCTCCTATATAATAAGTTAGATGTTGATAAGTACTTTGGAGACAAAATAATAAAGGGACTAGACAGGGTTGGGGGTGTGGGGGATGTTGGTTATTGAGATAGTTGATATTGAAGACCTATATCACTGAGAGGGTGACTAAGTTGGGAGTAGGAGCTCCTTATTGTCAAGAAGAGCATATTAGAAAGAAGACAGGAATGTAAGTTAAATAATTTCAGGTAACAGTTGTTTATAAATCAACATGTCATGAAAGAATGAGGGTTAGATGGGACTCTTGTTTTGTGTGGTCATGGAAAGTTAGATAGTATTTAAGTACAGACATGAAGGAAATGCCTATTGTCCCTGGGTCATTATGAGTTGGAATTGATTTAATGGCACACAACCACATTTGCCTGTTTTGTGGAACTGCCAGACTGTTTCCAAAGTGATTGTACTATTTTATATTCCTGCCAGTGGAGTAGGAGGTTCTGATAGCTCCACAAATTTGTCAACAGTTGTTAGTGTGGTGGTGTGCCATGGAGTTGGTTCCAATTCATAGTGAACCCTACATAGGGTTTCCGAGGCTGTAAATCTTTACGGGAGCAGAAAGCCTCATCTTTCTCTCGTGGAACATCCGGTAGTTTTGAACTGCTGACTTTGAGGTTAGCAGCCCATTCGTTACCACTGTGCTACCAAAGCTCCTTTGAAGTGGCATCCATTTGTGATTTTAATTCATTTCTTTGATGACCAGTGATATTGAGAATCTTTTTATGTGTTTATTAGGCTTTGTTTTTCTTCTTTGGAGAAATGTCAATTCAGATACTTTACTCAGTTTTAATTGTTTTATTTGTCATTATTATTGTGTATAAGAGCCCTGGTGTGGCACTGTAGAATAAGTACTGAACTGCAAGGTTAATTAGAATCACAAGGTCGGCAGTTCAAACTCACCATCCGCTCCTCAGAAACCCTATACAGGATCGCTCTGAATTGGAGCTGACTCAATGGCACTGAATAACAAACAACCACATAAGAGCTGTTGATGATTCTAAGTATCAGTCTCAAATGATATCAGATAATATAATTTGCTAATATTTTCTTTCATTCTGTTGATTGCCTTTTTACCTTCTGGATAGTGTGCCCTTTGATGCAAAAGGATTTAATTTTGATGACATCAAATTAATTTTTTTCTTTTATTGCTCATGCTTTTGGTGTCATTTCTAAGAAAGCATTACCTAGACAGTAAAGATTTATGCCTATGTCTTCTTATAAGAGTTTTAAAGTTTTAGTTCTTAAATTTAGATCAATAATCTATCTTGAGCTAATTAAATTTTTTTCTTGAAGTGTTGAGGTAATTTTTGTATAGGATATGAGGTAAGAGTCTAACTTTATTCTTTTGCTTGTGGATATCCAGTTGTTCCAGTACTACCTCTTGAAAAATTATTCTTTTCCTGTTGAATGGTCTTGACACATTTATTGAAAATCAGTTGACAACAGACAAATGAGTATATTTCTACACTCTTAGTTCTATTGCATTAATATATATATATGGAGTTCTGGTAGCGTAGTGGTTATGAATTGGGCTGCAACTACAAGGTCAGCAGTTCGAAACTGCCAGCTGCTCCGCGGGAGAAAGATGAGGCATTCTGCTCCCATAAAGATTAACAACCTCAGAAACCCTGTGCAGGGTCGCTATGAGTCGGAACCGACTCCACGGCACATAACAGCAATATATATGTATATATATATTTAAAAACAAGAACAAAATACTCAAACCCACTTCAATCAAGTTGATTCTGACTCTTAAAACTCTATATAGGGTTTCTGAGACTGTAAATCTTTATGGGTGTAGACAGTCTAATTCTTTTCTTGTAGGGTGGTTGGTGGGTTTGAACTACCAGCCTGTGGTTAACAGCCCAACACATAACCCATATGATATGACAAACCTTATGATAAATGAAGAAATTTAAGGCATCAGTGATTTAATTCTGCTTTGATCAATAATCAGTGTTCATGAAAGCAGCAGTCATGAAATAAAACAGCATATTATATTTGGCAAATCTGCTGTAAAAGACCATTTCAAAGTTTTCAAAAGCAACGACTTACGTCACTTTGATGAACTTGTTAGTCACCTCATGCGTGCAAAAGCTGGAAATGGAAGAAAGAAGGTGAAAGAAGAACTGATATTTTTGAGCTTTGTTGTAGTTGTTGTTAATGTGCCATTGAGTTGGTTCTGACCCGTAGTGACCTTGTGTAGGATTTCCAAGGAGCGGCTGGTGAGTTTAAACAAACCACTGCCTTTTGGTTCAAACTGACTTTGCAGTCCAGCTCATTAACCCACAGCACCATGCCAGGAGTTGAATAATACTGAATATACTCTGGACTGCTGGAAGAACATATAAGCCAGTCTTAGAAGTAGTCATGCAACCAGAATGTTCCTTACATGCAAGAATAGAGATACTTGGATTTGCTTATCATGAACTCATCATCAGGAATGACCAGTCACTAGAAAAGGATATCAAGTTTGATAAAGTAAGAAGGTCAGCAAAAATAAGGGAACCCATCAGTGAAATGGACTGACAAAAGAGATGAAAAACAGACTCAGACATACCAGTGAGCATGAAAATGGCACAGAACCAGGCAGTGTTTCCTTTGTGTTGTATGTAAGGTTGCTATGTGTTGTTGTGGACTCCGTGGTAACTAAAAACATAGTAATGATGTTTGACCTTATGCCAGCATTACAGTGTTTTCATTACTAATGTTTTGTTTCAGTAAATTTTTAACTAGAGAGTGTGAATCCTCCAACTTTTAAAAAATTGTTTGTCTATTCTGAGCCCCTTGTGATTCCATATGAATTTCAACATCAGCTTGTCCATTAAGAAGCCAAATGGGATTCTGACAGGAATTGCCTTGAATTTAAATATCAATTTGGGGTAGTACTGTCATCTTAAATCTTCTGATCCCTTAACATGCGATATTTTTCTGTTTATTTAGATCTTGCTTGATTTCTACAATGTCTTGTAGTTTTTAGACTATTAAGTTTTATACTTATGTTAAAGTAATTACTTATTAAGTGTTTTATTCTTTTTGATGTTGTAAATGGAATTATTATTATTAATTTTTGATTGTTCACTGCAAGTATATAAAAATAAAGATGATTTTTGTACATCATTCTTGTATCCTGCAACCTGTTGAAGTAGTTTATTGATTCTAATGTTATTTTATTTAACTCAGGATTTTCTATATAGTGATTTTCTGTCATGCAAATACAAGGAATCATCAGAAAAGTTCATGGAAAAGTTGTATTTTCTTTTAATGCCATGCTTCCCTGAGCTTTTTGAAGCTCTCTCCTAGAGGTAGTTCTCCGTCTTCCTTTCTATCTAGACACATTTTATTTCTTTTTCATGCCTAAGTATCTTGGCTAAACTGCCATTACAGTGTTGAGTAGAAGTGGTAAAATCTCAGCAGGAAAGCATCCAGTGTTTCACCATTAAGTATGATGTTAGCTGTGGGATTTTCAAAGTCGTTTTTAAATTAAGGAGGTTTTCTTCTTTCCTAGTTTGTTTAGTGTTTTTATCATGAAAAGATGTTAGATTTTGTCAATTATTTTTCTCTATCCAGCTGATCATATGGTTTTTGTTTTTTATTGTGTTGATGCATTATAATGCATTATTGCTTATAATAAAACCAGTTTTGAACTTCTGGGATAAACTGTACTTGTTAATGGAGTATAATTTTTTTTTTTTAATAAAGGTTTCTGGATTGCTAGTTGAGTTTTTTGTGTGTCTGTATTTTGACCTATGGTGATGATGGTGGTTGTGTGTCATCGAGTTAGTTTTAACTCATAGTTACCCTGTCAAGGGTTTCTGAGGCTATAAATCTTTATGGGCATAGGAAGCATCATCTGTCTCCTGCAGAGTGTAGTGGTAGGTTAGAAATTTATGACCTATACTGATCAGTTTTGAAAGAAGTGCAGCCGGAGTGCTCCTTAGAGGCCAAGATGGCTCAACTTTGTCTCTCATACTTTGGACATATTGTCAGGAGGGAACAGTTGCTGGAGAAGGATGTCATGCTTGGTAAAATGGAGGGTCGGAGAAAAAGAGGAAGACCCCCAACGAGATGGATTGGCTAGGTGGCATCATTGATGGACTCAAGTGTGGCAACGGTAGTGAGGTTGGCCCAGGATCGGACATTGTTTCGTTTTGCTGTGCATGGGGTCGCTATGAGTCATTTCTGACTTGATGGCACCTGACAACAACAACAACAACAACTGAACTGTATTATTCTTGTAGTGTTTGTTTTAGTATCAGTGTTAATTAATAGTGATCTCATAGAGTGAGCTCAGAAGTCTTTTCTCCTCTCCTTTTGTTTTTTGAAGTTTGTTAAGAATTCGTATTAATTCTTTTTCAGATGTTGGTAGAATTCAGTGAACGCACCTGAGCCAGGGCTTTTCTTTGTGAATAGTTTTTTTGATTACTAATTCACTGTCTTTAGTTGTTACATTCCGTTGTTTTGATTCTCATCATTAATCATAAGTTTTGCCTGTTCTTAGACTTCATTAGTATGGAAGGCATGAAATGGCAGATATTCTTTGTGCCTCCCCCTCTTTTCACTGAATATTATGGCTTTGAGATTTAGCTAATGTTGTATCTAAAACAAATAGCACTGTTAGATTGTTGGTAGGTGCTGTCAAGTCTGTTACAACTCATAACAACACTATGCACAACAGAACGAAACACTGCCGGGTCCTGCACCATCTAACACAAATAGTAGCAGTTCTTATTATTGTGTAGTGTTGCAATTGTATAAATACAATTTAACCCTTCTCTGTCAATTTGAACTTGGATTGTTTTCCAAATGTATTTATTTGTTTACTGGCCCACCAACTGAAACTGACTTGACAGCACACAGCTACCACAACCTTTAAAGATACTACCAAAGAGTTTTATCCAGTGACTGAATCAGTTTATACTCCCAACTGGAGTGTGTAAGAATTCTAATTGCTTAATATGCTTGTCAATATTTAGTATTGTCAGCTTTTATAATTTCAGCATTCTGCTGTTTATGTAGTGATATCTATCTCATGATAGTATTAATTTGTATTTCCTTGATGTGCAATGATAAAGGCCAAAGAAGTATCTGAAAATTCATATTTATGAGTTATTGTTGTTATTGTCAAACCATTTGAGAATAGGAAACCCCAAACTCATGACAGTTTACTCTTGGATACTTGAATCTCATTATTTTTTTAAACTCAGTATTGTATTACGTAAATATCTTTAAATGTCAACAGTTTAACTAGATGTTAAGTATGTATCAGTAAGATATTCATTAAAACTTCTTTCTATCTGTAGGTGTCATTAATGGGATTGGAAATTTTAAGTGCCTTTGTGGACAGATTATCAACACGATTTAAATCTTATGTAGCGATGGGTAAGTTAATTTAATTAAAAAATCATTGTGAAGATTGACAGAGTGACTTTTTTATCTTAGTTTTTATGTGTGGTAATGAGTTTTCTGTAAATGAAAAAGTTTGTACAACCTTGAAGCCTGCTTTTTAGCATTTAATACATATACACGTGAGAAAATTATAAGCTTATTTAAATAGATGATTATATCTCATCTGAGGCAAAACCAAAGAAAAGCAAAAAACTTGCTAAGTAGATTTTCACATAATGCTTTCAGATCTTTTACTTTCCTCGTAACATGAAAATTTAGAATATAACTTTGTTGTTAAGTTTTTCTGAGTAGGTTGCAACTCATAGAGACCCTGTATAGGATTTCTAAGGAGCAGCTGGTGAGTTTGAACAGCAAACCTTATGGTACAAACTGACCTTGTGGTCCAGCTCTTTATCCTACACCACCACACCAGGACAATTTATAGCAGCATTTTTCAAACTACCTGTTGTGAAGGGCCAGTTCTGTCAGTAATAAAAATATTTCAGATTAATATTTTGTAAAATACAAAAAATAAATTACCAGGAAAATAAAATGAAAAAAGAAAAATGCAAGGCACAATTTTTTATTATTAGAGTCAATAAATATAAAGTTACTTTGTTCAGATTATATTAAATTTTTTCATAAATGCTCTCAGTTTGTTTACTGAAAGCATTTTGCACGTTGGTTCTGGACTCCTGGCCAGTTTGGTACACCTACTTACAGTGAGTTTGTGGTATAATGCAATGTTGGAATAATGCTGTTCTTTTAAATAGTAGTTACGGGTTACAAAGTAGGATCTTATCTATTTTGTAAACCTAAGTGACCTTCACCTGCCTTTTGGAATGCTTTAGTAAGTGAACTTGGTCCTGTCATACAGTATCATATGTAAGGATAACTTCAGGTGTTACCGTGGGTTTTTTTCAGTGGATTAAGTTAGTAGCTCACCATCACTCTTACTTTCAAATATGTTTGGTCAGCTGTTTTCTTCATATTTGGTATGTCAGCAGATTTTCTGCCTGTGTCTTATTTTATTTTCTAGTTTTCCTTTTAGCAGAGATGTCCTAGTAGATTTTCTTATCTTTATTATTTGAATTCATTTTTTGTATAGATATAATCTGGAAAGAATATTTTTCCCTTTGTCAGTGTCCTGTCTAGAATCTTGTGACAGTTGTTGAAAAGTGTTCCCTGTAAACATTTGTTTCTTTGTTTTAAACTGTTTGAGTCAATGTTTAAAATTGGGAAGTTACACATAAAAATTTGTATTTCTTGTGGATCTTGAAACTTTGATATGACATCCCTGCCCAACTTTCCATTTTTGCATGTAATTATTGGCTGGAGTTGTGTCATAGCTTCCCTTTTTGGCTGGAGCTTGAGCTCTTCCTAAATCCTTTCCATCTCCTCTGTTCCCCTCACAACCAAGAATATTGTTATCCTACAGTAAGGTTGGAATACTGCAATTCTTAGACCTGGCTCAGTTTTGACATTTCCTTTGCCTCCTGTGTTGTAGGCATTTCTTTGTGTGACCCCTGTCCTGTAAGTGTTATTGTTAAGTGCCACTAAGTGGGTTCTGATTAATAGTGACTAAGGAGCAGCTGGAGGATTTGAACCACCAATCTTGTGGTTATCAATTTAGTGCTTATCCTATTATTAATAGTTTAACAGAACATTATAGAATTGAAAATAATTTAGATAATTTTTAGTTATGTCACTTAATTTTCAGACATAAGGAGGACCAGGTGAGGGTTCACGTACTGACTGCTCACGCTAAACTAGTAGGAATATTGAGACCATAATCCTAGATAGTTTGCTGACTCCCAGCATTATTCCACTTTCACTTTACTGTCCTGGGTGTTCAGGTTCTTTCACTGCATAAGTACCTTCTCCATCTCAATAGCCTTATTTGTAATCTTCACTAAATGCAGTCTTTCCACGCTAGTTAGTCAGAAACTTGCTCTAATTTCTAGCTTAATTTGTTTATGTCTCTACTGTGCTGTTATTTCTGTTTCAAAATTCCTCCTCTTCTCCATGATTCATTCTTTTCCTTTTTAAAATTTTAATCTAGATGTCAGCATCTAGGAACATTGGACTGTTTATAAATTCTTTTATATACGATTTGTTTGCTTATTTGTTTTAAATCTACTCTGTGTGGATATCCCATTAGTTGATACTGGTTTGTTTGTTTGTTTCTTTTTGATACATAAATGTTAATCATTGTCATTGTTGAGACCTGAACTTGTTCTTACTTGAGAATTGTTGTTGTTAAGTGCCATCCATAGAGTTGGTTCCGACTCATAGCAGCCCTGTATAGATGGGGTTTCTGTGGCGTGGCTGCTGTGTTTGGACCTCCAATCTTAGTAGTCCATGCTTATCCTACAGCGCCACAGTAGCATTTGAGAATTGTTGTTGTTAAGTGCCATAGAAACCCATAGCTATCCTGTATAGAGTTTCCAAGGAGCATCTAATGAGTTTGAACCACTGACTTTGTGATTCGCAGTCCAGTATTGATATGCAGAGCCACACAAATAATTAAAAATTATTTTTAATGCCCTTTTGCATTAAAAATGAATGATGCATTAGAGAAATCGAGTCATGTTTAGTTTTAGACACAGTTCTAAAAGGTTATGGGTTCTCTTAATGTAATTCTTTATTATTTGTTAGTGTTGGTGTTTGGTAGGTGCTGAGTCTATTCCAACTCATAATGACCCTGTGCATTACAGTTTGAAGTGCTACCCAGTCCTGTGTCATCCTCACAGTTGTTTTGTTTGAGTCCATTGCTGCTGCTACTGTGTCCATCCATCTCCGTGGGAGTTCCATCAGTCTTTTTCACTGACCCTCCACTTTACAAAGTGTGATGTCTTTCTCCAGAGACTGGTCCTACCTAACAACATGTCTAAGGAACATCCTGACTGTCCTTCTTCCAACACAGATTTGTTGGTGTTCTTTTTCTGGCAGTCCATGGTACTTTTTTTTTTATTACAAATTTAGTGAAGGTTAACAGAGCAGAGTCATCAATTTTACATTCAATAAATCATACACTTCATTTCATCACAGTGGTAGCAATCCCCTCCACATAACAAATCATACACTTCATGTCATCACAGTAGCAATCCCTTCCACATAATATTACCTGTCCCACTTTCTCCCTGTGATTCTTTTTTTTTTTTAATTGTGAATTTTGTGATAGTTTACATGGGAGAACATTGGCTTTACATTCATCCTGTCTTACTTCTTTTCATTGCAATGATTACAGTTCCCTGCAAGCATCATTAAACAACCAAAGGGTATACCCCACAAGCCTGCCCCCAGCCATTAACACACAGCCCCTCTCCGTCCCAGAGTCCAGAGTCCCCAGCCACTCCATCTCTCCACGTCATTGTCTCTGCCTCCATCTCTGGCATCACTGCTTCTCTGGATAGGGTCCTGCACTCCGCTTTTCTCCCTTGATGGTGCCAGGGATCTCCGCTCCTGGAATGCAAAATCAACCACTTCCCTCCTTTTGTTACAAAACATCTACTTTTACCTTTCCAACACTCACAGTCAGATCTGATATCAGACATTCACTATTGAACTCCAAGAGTCTTATCCCCATCTCCTTTCATCAGCCCTGTCCAGATAGGTTGGAAACCACTCAGTGGAGATTCTACCTTCCCCTGCACCCTCTGGAACTGGGTCCCCTCTTGAAAGCTTGTAAGTCAGTCACTATTTGCCTTCTTAGCACCCCCATTTTGGGTAGCCAGTGTCTAAGTTTCCCATCCTTGTTGACCCTATGTACCGAGGGGGTGGGAATGATCCTTGCTGTAAATATTTGTTCCCTCCTTTGAGCTACTACATCCACAAGCATAGGTCAAGTTCATAAATTGTAGTGGATTACTCTTTTTGCCTCTTCTTTCTAACTCTAGTGGAGTTCTGATCATCCAGCCCTTGAAGCCAGGTCAAATGGGTAGTATCTGCAAGTATGGGTGTTCTTGCCCATCTCTCCTCACTTCTTATCAGCCAGACACTTCACTCTCTTCTCTAGTCCTCTGTGGCCATGTTTCTGTTCCTGGGCCCAGGAGTCCCCAGATCTTGCCATACTGCTGGCCAACCAGGTCTCAACTTGGGGTCACAGGAGTCATTGTAGTCAGACTTAGCTCACAACTTCATTGCTGTTTTTCACTCACTTTCCCTTACCAGTGACCAACATGATCAGCAGCAGGACCACATGCCTGCTCATGTATTCCTCTTGAAGTCTTGGAAGGGGGTTTCCCCTGAGGGGACCTGACTACTTGCCTTGATGGCTCCCAGGTAAACGACTTGCTTGTTCTTGTAGTAGTCAGTAAGACTGATGTTATTGTTTTTGATTTTTCCCGCTGGTCTTTCTTTCCAGAAGTATCTTTTGGCCACTCCAGGCTGGTCTGCTTGTCCTTTCAGTGGAAATTTCCCACCTCAGAAGGTTCTGTATGAGGATCAGGATTCCATCTATGTATGGTCTTATGTAATGCAGAGGCTCTGCAGGAAGCCTTCTTCACTGGGCAAGCTCTAGCCCCATTTTAGGGATTTGAGCTTAGTCTTAATGGTTCTCCTTTGTAGGTAACTTCATTTTTCCCACGCTGTTCTTGGGATTCTTTCCTTGTCTTTGATTTTGGAAAGCTTGATTATCATATGCCTTGATGATTTTCTTTTGGTATCTATCCTATTTGGGGTTCGTTCAGCTTCTTGTATATTTATCTTCTAGTCTTTCATTATGTTAAGTAAATTTTCTTCCAACAGCTCTTCAGCAATTTTCTCTGTGCTTGTCTCGTACACTTCTGGAATTCTGATCACCTATAAGTTGTTTCTTTTCATGGTGTCCCACATAGCTGTTAGGCTTCAACCCCAGGGACCTAGTCTTTTTGTTTGTTAATTGTAGAATATGTCATATATAAAGAAGAGTACATATTAAAAACGTACACTTTAAAGGGTAATTATAAAAACCAAGCTTGACATTGTCCCTGTCAAGATAATAGGACCCTGCCAGTTTCTTAGAACTCCCTCCTCTGCATTTCCTGATGACTCTCCCTTGGTCTCCTGAAGGTAACCATTGCCCTAACCTTTGGGGGAATCATTCCTTTGCTTGTCCGTAGAGCTTTACTAACTGTATGTATACTTAAATAAAATATTTAATTTTGCCCATAGTTTTGAGCATTATTATAATTAGTGAAGTCATCCTGCATGTATCCTTTGTAACTTGCTTTTCAGTTACTTTCTTTGATCAGACTCATTAACTCATTCATGAGTAATGAATTTAAAACAATTAATTTGCTTAACTTATAATTTTTCATTTATGGAAATAATTGCCTCTTGTAATTTTGTAAAGTACAATTTGTGATGGAGATAAGTTAGTAAATATTTACACTTTTCCTTTCCCCTCTTTCTAGTTATTGTAGCTTTAATAGACAGAATGGGAGATGCCAAAGACAAGGTTCGAGATGAAGCTGTGACTCTGATATTAAAGTTGATGGATCAAGTAGCACCACCTATGGTAGGTGTAACTTTCAAAATTCACATTTTGCTAATTAATGGTGAAATATCAATAAAGATAGATGTTAATCATAGCCAGTCAGTAAAGCTCCATGGAATATGATAGCTTAATTTTTTTAAGCTATTAATTGTTGCTAATACTTTGAAGAAACTGAAATTTATAATAAATGTCAATATAAAAGTCCCCCACCCCCTTTTTTTCAAGCTAGCTCATAGTTTTAAATGATTTGGCAATATACTGACTATGTTATCGTTAAACGCCATTGAGTTGGTTCCAACTCATAGCCACCTTGTATGAGGTTTCCGAGGAGCAGCTGTTGGATTTGAAATGACGGTTTTGTGATTCGCGGTCCAGTGCTGGTCCTACAGTGCCACACCAGGACTTCAGCTACTAATTATATAAGGCATATGTTCTGTGATAATGATTTATGTTTTCTGAATACAGTAGGAATAATTTGTGCCTTATTACAGGTGTTTTGAAAGCAGAGCAAAAATAAATAGATGTGTATACAAAGATTTAAAGAGTAGCTCATGTTAAGGGGGAAAATCAGAGCATACAATATACTAATAATTTGTTTCAAGTGTATTAAAATTTTTTATTTAAAAGAAATTCCAAGGAGTTGAGGCAAGATGATTGAGTAGGCAGCTGCACTGAACAGACCCTCTGCAACAGAGACATGGAAGAACAAGTGAAATGGATACACGTGGTGGTCCTGGCACACTGAACTTCAGAAGATAGGGCGGAGAGGTGGACTGAATACTGAAAGGAAGAGGAAGATGAACATAAGCATTAAGGGAGATGAAAGCCAGTCAGGCTATCAGCTGGCATGGAGTGGCTTTTACAAGCAACTGCCCATTGAGGCAGGGCTGCAGGTGGGAGACAAGAGTGGTACAGTCCTCCCTTGTTCTCTCATCCTCTAGTCAGCAGGGCGTGGCCAGCCCCACTATCACCAACGAAGTGGCTAGTGGCAATACCTCCTGAGCAACCTTACAAAATAAACTAGAAACATTGCACCTCTTTGGATGACAGAGCACCAATAACAGCAGGCAACAACTTGAGACTAACAGACGTGACACTATCACCCAGAACTCAACCCAGCTGTAGAAGTGTCTTAAGTAAAACAAACCTTGTTGTTGTTAAGTGTTTTTCAAGTTAGTTCTGACAAACAGTGACCCTTTGTAGGGTTTCCGAGGAGTGGCTAGTGGGTTTGAACTGCCAGATTTGTGGTTAGCAGTCCATTGCTTATGCTACAGCATCACACCAGCAAAAAAACATAAAGAATAAAAAGGGAATAGTGTACTTACAGAACATCCAGATGAAGGGGAAATCAAACAGATTTCAAGAAAAAAATAAAAATAATAAACTTAACAGTAACCCTAAAACTAAACCAAGCCTTACTCCTACCTCTAACCTAACCCCTAACATTAACCCTAGTAATAACCATAAGCCTAACACAAAACAAAGTCCTAGGCCTTGCCTGGACCTCACCAGTGTCCTAACTCTTAACTCCTTACTCTTACCTCTCCTATTCACCTCCACCTCATTCCTCCCCTCCCCCCCCCGAAAATTTCATATAGTATTGAATTATAAAAATTTATTGTCTTCCTAGATAAACCTTACATCTAAATCATTATTGTTTGATGTGGATGTCCTTCCACACTTTATTGATTAAGTCCTGCAAGAAATATCCTTGTACATAATATCTTTGGGCACAGATATAAATGTTTGTATAGATTGTAAAGTTCTAGAGATGGTGTTTCTGAGTCAGGTTATTCACAGCTAATATTTTTATATAAACTTCCAAATTAATTTTCCAAGAGTTTGTCAGGAAGAGAGAAGTACATTAGAGAATTCAGTAGAAAACTCAGAGTGCATATAATAGATATAAATAACTTTAGTAAGTAGTAAAGATGGTATTTCCAAATGTGGAGCAAGGATGGATTATAAAATAAACTGGATTCCTTGTTATATCAAATTCATGTACTATTTTTTTTATTTTTATGTGAATAATTACTTATCCCAAAAGAAAATTATGGTAGGTAGCCATGAAATGACTTGTCCAAATATATTTTTGTATTTAAATCCAGTATTAAAAGAATAGACAGAATTACAAAATGCTGAAAAAGTCTGTCCTGTGTGAGCCTGTAACAGTTGCTAGGAAACGTTGGACCTCTTAAATGCTTACTTGACTACTGAGCTTATAATGGTTGCATTGTTGTTGGAAGGTTTCTAAAGCTTAGAAGAAATCCTGTGTCCTTGAAATCTCTAGGTATTGGGCATAGCTCTTAGGAAAATAGTATAAGTATATATAAATAGAAATGAAACAAAAGATTAAGATAATAAAAAAATGGGTAAGAGCACCCATAGCACAGATTTAGCTTAGGAACATTTCTTGTGCATATTAGTGAAGTGAAGTATCCAACGGGAAAATTCCGTTACCAGTAAGGTTGATAATAGATTAGTAATAAGCTTGGAAAGAGATAGAAAATTAGAACTAAGTAATTAAAATTTTTATTTATATATGTTTACTTTTCTTTCTACTAGTACATTTGGGAACAGTTGATTTCTGGATTTAAGCACAAGAATTTTCGGTCACGAGAAAGCATCTGTCTGTGTCTTATTGAAACCTTAAACATGTAAGTTTAAGATAATTAAAACAGCCTTTTAATGTGTTTTATTTTTCTTTAAAAATTTGTCTGTATCACAAACCTCAAGTAAAGCAATGAAAAATAGCTATGAAAATTTAAAATAGTTATTGAGCACAAAGTTTTTATTTGATGCTTTTATTTTTTTTTAGTTTTACTTTTCATTGTGGATTGAATGAAGATTTACAGAGATCATCAATAATACATTTAGCAAATCATACACTTTGTTTTGTCTCAGTGAATGCAGTCCCCTCCATGTAACATCACTTACTTACCCCTTTTCCTCTCTAGGTTTTCCATTTTCATTCCTCCTCCTTTCCCAACCCTTCTGAATTTTGTTCGTAGGTAAATGCTCCCCCTTTGATCTTGAATGATTGACTATTCTTTGGTGAGCATACGTCATAATACTTTTATTTTTTTTTGTTACTTTTCTTGTTAACTTTAGATTGTCATTCAATGATAAGTATTTCTCTTTTTTCCCTTTACTATATTAGCTCAAAATAGATGGTCATGTAACTAAAAACTGATAACATAGAGTCAATTTCTGTACTGTTGATTTGTACTATTTTTATGAATTCAGTAAGACTTCAAATATTGTAGCCATTGTTCTTTCTGTTTTTGTCTCTGCTAACTGGCCCTAGGTTTCCTAAAGCAGTATGTTGTTGTTGTTAAGTGTCAGCAAGTTGGTTCCACCTTACACTGACCCTGTATAGAATTTTTGAGGCTTTAAATCTTTCTGGGAGCAGAAAGCCTCATCTTTCTCTCGAGGATTGGCTGGCGGGTTCAAACTATGAACCTTGTAGTTTTCAGTCTAGTGTGCTTGTCCTATGAAGCCACCACACTGTGAGTGGCTATTTTAAAATCATAGACTGAGCAAGGCTGCCCCAAGAAACTAGACAACAGTTCTATTGTTGGTGTGCACCGCTCTGACTGCATAGATTCCACTGGGCTCAGAATTGCTAATCTGAAGAAATATTAAGCTGTTCTCATTTTATGTTATTTTGTCAGGTTCTGCACAGTATAAGAAGTAATAAGTAGTAGCTTTCAAACTTTTCTGTTAATGTCATTACTTCCTTTTCTCTAAATGTGTACCTCATTAGGGTTTGGGATTTAGATATTGAGGTTTGGTTGAAGACCACAGCAATAAAGCAAATATTGCAGTAAAATGAGTTACATTAATTTTTTTCTGCGTGTATATAAAGGTTATATTTACGCTACACTGTTGTGGTGCTGTGGATGAATACCCTGGACTTCAAAGTCAGTTTGAACTGCAAAGTTGGTGATTCAGGCTTACCAGCTGGTCCTCAGAAACCATATACATGTTGGAACTGTCTTAACAGCCCTTAACAACAACAATATTGTGGTAGCGTAGTGGTTACGAATCGAAATGCTAACGTCAAGGTCAGCAATTTGAAACTACCAGCCATCCTTGGGAGCAAGATGAACCTTTCTGCTCCCATAAAGATTTACTGCCTTGGAAACCCTATACATGGTAGCTGTGAGTTGGAACTGACTCCATGACACATAACCAGTACCACCATCACCGTAGTTTTTTAAGTGTGCAATGCTGTTCTTGTTCTTGTGTGCTTTCGAGTCACTTCTGACTCATAGAGACCCTATATAGGTTTTCCAAGAGCATCTTGTGGGTTTGAACTGCTGACCTGTGGTTACCAGTCCAATGCTTGTTCTACAATATCACACCAGGGCAATAGCGTAATTTAAAAGTTTGACACATTATGAGAATTACTAAAATGTGAAACAGAGACACAAAGTGGGCCTATACAATTGGAAAAATGGTGCTGATAGACTCAGTTGACAATAGATTTACAAACCTTCAATTTGTTTTTAAAAAAGAAAAAGAAAAAGCACTATCTGTGACGTGCAGTAAAGCGAGATACAGTAGAACAAGGTTTGCAAGGTTCGGCTGTAGCTGTTGTTGTGCCTGTGATTCAGTTCCGACTCATACCCATCCTGCTTGTAGAAACACTGCTTGGTCCTGTAATGTCCTCACAATCCTTTTTATTCTTGAGCCCATTGCTAGAGGTCTTCCTCTTTTTTTCTGACCCTCCACTTTGCCAAGCTTAAAGTCCTTCTCCAGGGACTGGTCCCTCTTGATAATTTGTCTGAAGTATATCTTGCCATCCTGCCTAGGGAACATTATGGCTGTTGTTAGGTTCCATTGAGTCAGTACTGACTTATGGCGACTCTGTGCACAACAGAACAAAACACTGCCAGTCCTGTGTCATCCTCACAGAATCACTAAGCTTGAGCCCATTGTTACTGTCACTTTGTCACTCCATCTCATGTTGGGTCTTTCTCTTTTTCATTGACTCTCCACTTTTCCAAGCATGTTGCCCTCTTCCAGAGCCTGGTCCCTTCTGATAATGTGTCCAAAGTATAGCAGATGAAGTCTCACCATCCTTGCTTTTAAGGAACATTCTGGCTATACTCCTACCAAGATATTTGTTTTATTGATTGTACAAAGGCATTTGACTGTGTAAATCATAACATACTATGGAAAACATTGAGAAGAATGGATATTTCAAAACACTTATTTGTGCTTATGAGGAACTTGTACATAGACTAAGAGGCAGTGGTTCAAACAGAATGAAGGGACACTAAATGGTTTAAAATCAGGAAAGGTAAGCATCACGGTTGTATCCTTTCACTGTATTTCTTCAAAAGCTAATTAAACTGGATCATATGAAGAAGAATATGGCAGTAGTGTTGGAGGAAGACTCATTAACAACCTGAGATATGCAGATGGTGCAGCCTTGCTTGCTGAAAGTGAAGAGAACTTGAAATACTGATGAAGATCAAAGACTACAACCTTCAGTGTAGATTGCACCTCAGTGTAAAGAAAATGAAAATCCTCACAACTGAAATAATAACATCATGATAAACAGAAGATTGAAGTTCTCAAAGACTTCATTTTACTTGGGTCCCTAATCAGTGTTCATGAAACCAGCAATCTGGAAATCAAACAGCATATTGCATTGGGCAAATCTGCTTTGTAAAACCTCTTTAAAAGTGTTCTAGAGCAAAGATGTCAGTTGGAAGACTAAGGTGCACCTTAGCCAAGCCATGGTATATTCTGTTGATTCATAAGCATTTGAAAGCTGAACAATGAATAAGGGAGACCATAGAAGAATTGATGCGTTTGAATTACAATGTTGGGGAAGACTATTGAAAGTATCTTGGACTGTCACAACAACCAACAGGTTAGTCTTGGAAGACTATGCTCCTTAGAAGTGAGGATGACAAGACTTTTTTTGGACATGTCGTTAGAAGCGACCAGTCTCTGGAGGATATCATGCTTGGAAAATGGAGGGTCATAAAAAAGAGGAAGACTCCAACTGAGATGGATTGGCACAGTGGTGGCAACAGTGGGCTTAAGCATGACAACAGTTGAGATGGCAGAGGACCAAGCTTAGTTTGCTTCTGTTGTGCTTAGGGCCTCTAGGAGTGAGAACTGACTTGATGGCAACTAACAATTACAGCATGGTCCTTTCTGCCATTTAGAGTTTGTGAGTGCAATTTGTCTGCACAAGATTTCTGGTTTTTTACACACTTGCCATTTGTTTTCAGCCCATGGCTTCATTAAAATACCAATAAGCATAAATAAAGATCTTTTAACTTAATAAATTCTTAATTACTTTAACATCTGATAATTTGTTTGAAACCCAGATTCTTAAAAAAATTACTGTTCCAAAAGCACTCTTCCTTGAGTGCAATAGGTTAGTATAGTTGTGTGTTATTAATGTTGATTGTTGATGCAAAATGTTAACTATTTTTAGTTTTTGTTTCTATTTAAGTTTACATGGTTTAGAATAATTTTTCTTTGTGTTTCATGGCCATCATGTGTAGTGTAGTGATTACGAGTCTGGCTGCTAACCTCAGGGTCAGCAGTTCAAAGCTATCAGTAGTTCCATGGGAGAAAGATGAGTCTTTTTGCTCCCTTAAAAGATTTACAGCCTTGGAAACCATATGCAGGGTCACTATGAGTCGGAACCGACTTCAACGGCATATACCACCCCCACCACCATGCTTTCTACAATAATATTTGTTTTGTTGATAAAGAGGAAGAAAAAAATATAGGGATATTTTGGTTTACTGTCCTAATTAAAACAATTTTTTTTTCTCTCAACTTATTTTTAGTTTTGGAGCTCAGCCATTCATTCTCAACAAGTTGGTACCACATTTGTGCATCTTATTTGGCGATTCCAATAGTCAGGTAAAATTTTATTTACATTTAAGTTTTGACTTTTTGGGTCTCCTCTTCTTTTGTAGTGGGAATCCGGAGTGCTCAGTAGTTAATGTACTTGGCTGCTATTCAGAAGGTTGATTGTTTGAATCCTTTGAATCCACTAGCCACTGTCCCAGACAAATATGTGGCAGTCTGCTTCTGTAAAGATATATAGCATTAGAAACCCAGTGGAGCAGCCCTACTGTGTCATACAGGGTTGCTATGAGTTGGAATAGACTCAGTTGCAGTGAGGTTTTTTTTTGTTTGTTTTTTTTCCATTCTTTCCTGGTGCTCCTACATCAATTTAAAAAAAGGAAGAAAAGAGGAATGAAATTTAAATCTTACCTCTTTTTTTTTTTTTTTTTTTTCTAAATTTTAAAAAATACTATATTAAATTCCTATAAATTGCTTATGTTTGTCAGATATTTGGCTAGTATTAATAGTAGATAGGATTTAGCAGCTTGTCATTGGGATTTAGAGGTAGAATAACAAAAAACTTGGAGGGTTGTCAGTTTCTTTTTTCGTCATTCCTAAATATGGCAGCTACTTAAAGTAGTCATAACCCTGTTTAGGAGTCCTGGTAGCTACTTAAAGTAGTCATAACCCTGTTTAGGAGTCCTGGTGTGGTGCTGTGGGTTAATGTGCTCCACTTTAAAGTCAGTTTGAACCTCAAGGCTGGAGGTTCAAACTCACCAGCTGCTCCTAGGAAACCCTATACAGGGTTGCTGTGAGTCTAAACCGACTCGATGGCACTTAACAAAAACAACAACCCTGTTTAATAGGCAGTTTGTACCAGTGCTGTATCACTTGTTAAGTGCCGCCGATTCAGTTTGGACTCATATTCACCTTCCAAGGAGCAGCTGGTGAGTTTGAACCACCTACCTTGTGATTCAGACTGACCTTTTGGTCCATTGGTTTATCCCACAACTCCCAACCTGAGCTGCACCCACTGTAGGCTGCGTTACGGGGACGTGGTCTAGATTGCACCTCTTCTGGTGTAGTTCAGTCTTGGCTATAACCTTTTTGGCGCAGCGTGGATATTTGGAATGTACGTACCTTGGGCAAAGTTTTCCCTTCTTTTATGCCCTGACCTCTTAAGGAGGTTTGTAAAGAGGGAATTCAACTGTCTCTCCAGTTGCTCTTTGATAGTGAGCTATGCCAGGGGGACCAGAAGTGTCTTCCAAATTCCTGTCTTTAGGCCACATTCTTGAAAGGAATTTTGTTTGAGAAAAATTTACTAATGATATTTTTATTAATGCAATTGATGGTCAGTTTTTACAAAGTCTTATTATAACTTGAAGATTTTTTAAGGCCAAATTAGTAACTCTTAATTTTATATTTCTGTAAAAACTTTTTACAAAGATTCTCTAGAGATTTCTTGACTAGTTCTCATGGTTGTTGCTAATTGTTGTTGTTGTTAAGTGCCGTCGAGTCGGTTCCGACCCATAGCG